GAAAGGCCCCTCTTCAAGAGCCAGAGCCAATAGCAAAAAGACCGACGCGTACTCGTGCTGGAAACGACACCAAAGAAGCTCAAGAAGAAGCTAAAGCCACTATGAAGAAGTCCGTAAAATTCCAAGGAGCGGGAAAGGAAAACCTCGGTCTTGCATCAAAGGCGAAGGGTGCGGGAAGCATGGGAGGCCTGCGAGGCCGACCTGCGAGGCGTGGAGCTGCCACAATGCCAAAGCCGCAGCCAAAAACCTCTCCTCAGGATGCTGACACGGGCCCCAAGAAGCCACTGAGTCCTAAGAAAGTTACCCAGATGCCTATTTCGCGAGACGAAGAGTGTTCAGATGATGAGCTGGCTGGAGGCGATGAGATCAAACCTTTAATCAAAACTTCCGTCAAGCCATCGGCATACGCGCCTATCAACCAGAAGTCACTTAACGCCACATCTAGTCAACAAGAGGACAATGCAATGACAGATGTGGAAGAGCTCGTTGCGCCTCCCGAAACAACTACTTTAACATCACCGCCAAGACGACCACCCACATCTCCTACAAAGGAGTCGTTAACGTCGCCGGCAAAGAGACCAGGTGGCAAAGTCCAATTACCCGGGTCCCTTCTGAAACCCCGGGCCCTTCCTTCGGAGGACCAACACAATCAGTCTTCTCTTCTGCATTCCCCTGCCAAGAGACCTCCGTCACCGATAAAGGGCTCAAAATTTCCGTCAATGACGGCTGGGACGCCGCTTCATGGTCAGCCGCCGCTCAAAAGCTCACTGCTTCAATCTCCAGCTAAGCGGGCCATGCCCGGTTTCAGGCCGGTGACGGAGGAATTAAATGGCAAGAATGCCATATTAACCAGGACCCCCAGAATGCAGCCAATCGTTGCTTCATGTTCGAGTGTCAGTACTAGTGGCTTGCCTTCTCAGCTGCTCCTCGCTGAAGAATTTCATAATGGCGAGACTGGCGACATCGGCGACGACCCTTTCACTAGCCAGGCCGACAGCCCTCGCTTTCCAGGTCGAATGTCTGCCGTCTTGCCACGCCATGCTGACCCTCTAATAAATGCAGATGATATAGAGGATGAAGAAGAAGATGAAAAAGTCTACCCTATCGGCCGCTCTGCCCCCGAAGAGATGGCAGAGGCCGACAGCTATGAATATGTTCGTAACGACCAGGTAGTTACAGAACTATTTGAAACTGATAGAGAAATCAGCGAAGACGGCGCCATGGTTCTGGGAGAAGAAACAGCTGGACACATCGGGAAGCCTGAGATTCAGATAAGCAACGCTGCAATTACAGCAACCCCAGCGACAAAGCGAGGTGCAAGGTTTCAGCTTCGGGGTAGTGTTCTTGATCCGTGCCGCGACTTTGCATCTGATTTTGAGTCTGAGGACGATTTGTCTCCTCTGAAGCAGCTCCCAGCGCATCATAGTCGTTTGGATCGTAGGTCCACGAATGGGAGAGACACGACTCATGCGGCTCCAAGGGACTCACGGAGATCTACCCTTGGTTTAACGTCCTTAACTGAGAAATTCGGGGCTTGGGCATCGGCTAGTCCTACCAAGATGACCAAGGATCAATCCTCTGTTGTCGGAGGCACCCACGACGACAATATCACTTCGTCTACTGCAGTTCTAGAGATGACATTACAATCAGAGGTTTCGCCAATGAAGAACAGCTTTTTTGAAGACGAAATTCTCGTTCACGCTGATTTAGAATCCCCCCGTCAGCATACTGAGTCGGAGATCGGACAGAGGACAAATGACGACGCTGTTACTATGGAGGACATTGCTATGACAAATGAGGATATTGCTCTTGCTGCAGAAGCTAATAATATGTCACTCATGCCCCAGAATGTGGATGATGACCGCGAAACCCAACATACGGAGGAAGCTCTCTCGGAAGCTAGCCAGGAATACGGCGATGAGAACCAGCTCCCTGAGGACACGGTTCTTCCTTCTGCAAGATATTTTACGCCCGTCACACCTACTCGGCCGTCACAGCAGAAAAAGCCTTATTTTACAACCACCAAAGTCCCACTGAAGCCAGCAGATGATTCGGAACCAAGCCCATCTAAAAAACGGAGTTTCAGTGCAAAAAGTGTAGGGCATTTGCCCCGAAGCGCCACAGTCATCTCATACTCACCGACAAAAGGGAAAAAGCGCGCGTCCATACTTCCTGCCTATGACCCATTCTCCACTCCCGCCAAAGGAGATCTGTGGTCAAGCGTCGGCACGCCTGGGAAAACCCCTTGTCGAGATATCAACCCAGGACTGCTTCGTGGTGCTGTGGTGTTTGTCGATGTGCATACTACGGAAGGTGCGGACGCCAGCGGCATTTTCGTCGAGCTCTTGAACCAAATGGGCGCCAAATGTGTCAAGACTTGGAATTGGAACCCCAGCGGCTCTCTCACTAGCGAAGGCGCGTTATCGAGCAAAGTTGGGATTACCCACGTCGTGTTCAAGGATGGCGGTAAACGCACTATGGAGAAAGTTCGGGAAAGCAATGGAGTTGTCCACTGCGTCGGCGTCAGCTGGGTTCTAGAGTAAGTTGCTTGACCTGACTATGCAGGTCGTTGTAGTCACTAACTAACATGACGTTGAAATAGCTGCGAGCGTGAGAATGAATGGCTCGAGGAATCCCCTTATTATATTGACACGACTTTCATACCCCGTGGAGGCGCTAGGCGTCGTAAAAGCATGGAACCGAAGGCGATTGCAAATCTCAATGGTACAATTATATCTGGTACTAATAACCCATCCAAGACCCCAAATACGCCTAGAAATCGAAGAGAGAGCACTATGTGGATGCACACACCATCTGATCAGGGGGACCTAGATGATGAGGACCTCGAATGGTCATGTGCATTGCTCACTCCAGTTCCGAAGACTCCAGCGCCCGAGGCAATTGCAAAGTACGCGGCAGAACTGCCGGAAACACCAACTTCGGAAGACTTATCAGGCATCACGTCGCCGTCGAAGCAGAGCTTTTTGACAAGAACTTGTCCTCCGAAAGAAAGCAAATATCGCGAATTAGGAAAGGGAATTTTGAGCCGCGAGAAAGATGAACAGGTCATGCTAAGACTCATGGCAGCAAGACGCAAAAGTCTTCAGTTCGCGCCCAAGGTTGGCAGCCCACTAGCTAAAACCTGGGAGTAAAGTATTATAATTACCTACCAAGTAGATAGGTAATTATGTTGATGCCGCAAGCATGGGAATAAGGCGCTACTCCATCAAGACTTGCAATACCCCAGACACGGCCTGGCAAACTTTGTTCTTTGGAGATTCGGAGGGACCATCACTAAGATTGGAGTTGATACACATTTTCCCACACGGCGTTTGAGAACAGATTTGGCATGGGATTGTTCTTGAAATGGCAAACAACCGCATGCACATACTACGATCAACCGAGCCAGGAAGTAAGCCATGCAGCAGCTTTGTATAATCACGTAGTGTTGACACACATTAATTAACATATTCAAACTATTAGCCGGTTTACGTATTGAGTTTACGCAGAAATAGCATGCGATCAATAGCAAAATACGCAACACCTTTTTTTATCTTGATCAGTCTAATTCCCCTTTATTACCTCACTTCTATGGCTGGTTGTGGGCTGTTACTGCGCCGACCACGAGTTGCTGAGTTACTCTCCGTCACGTTCCTCATAATACTTCATAGTGTCTGGGCGTCCGGCTTGAAAGGAGAAATGAGATGACTCGAGCCTCCCGCCTTTTGACCAGCCCAATATTTGTTGTGTTGTGTTCGGGCTAAAGCCAAGCATCCAGCGAGGCAGACTCGAGTCGGCGCCTCGAAGTTTTTTTCCCCTCTTTGATAGTCTGACTAGACTAGAATGACGCCATGTTGATTGATGAATGCTCGCCATAGGGGAGACAGCATCGATGGACGGTAGATGCACCTCTCCCTATATATAAAGATACTGGGCGCCGCAGGTGACCAGTCAAGACCGATGCCCGGCACAGGGAACTGCCTCCTCCCGTGACTTAGGCCTTGACCCAAGCCCGCATCGCCTTGACGGCGTCCCCGTCATGGGCCTTGAGCAACTCGGTGGCCTTGGGTTTCGACAGCTCCAACTCATCCACTAGTAGGCTCACGTCGGCAGCATCTACCTTGACGCTCTTGGCAGGGGCGGCCGCGGGGACTGGTGCAGATTTCGCACCCCCAAGGCTCTTCATAGCCTTGTTGACGGCCTCCTGATCGACATCTCTTCCGGCAGCGTCATCGTTGGCGGCGGCGGCATCGAGACTGGCGAGGGCGGAGGCGGCTTTGCGGTCCTCGGCTGACTTGGCAGTGGACTGGAGCTCGTCTTCGACATCGCCCGTTGTCGCGCCCTCGTGGACATTTCGGGGCTGTGGCTCGGCCATTTTTGGTTCGATGTGTAGACGTGTGTAGACGTGTGTCGACGTGCGTTCTCGACGGCAAAGGTGGGAAGGTGGAAATGTACGGAGTGTTCAGGTTGCTCACCGAGCTGTCTCTCTCTAGATGGCGTCAAGTGGATGCAGCAAATGTGGGGTCAGGGACAGTTTTTGTATCTCCCTGCATCCCACTAAGCTGGACCTGATGCCACGCCCAAGCTATTGACAGGGCGGGAACGACCTTGTGTGATTCGCCAGTGCCGGCGCCGAGACTGAATTGTGCTGGATGTCCCGTCTCGAGTGGGAACAAAAATTTATTGTTCTAGTCAGGTGTGTGCCATCCAAAAAAAAAAAACGACTGCCGAATCTGCAGACAGACTTCGTTCCATGGTAACGTCGTACAAGTCCAGAGTGTTGCAGAGGCATTGCCGTCATTGGCTGACTCACAGGCGGATTCCGGCGTCGGTCCCAAATCGCACAGCGACAGACTCACGCCTCGAGACTGAGCAGATTATTTATATAATATACATACGCGCACGCGCATGAGCCTGCTCGCGAAAGTCCCAACTCGGCCTTTTCTCACCATTCATCGGGCCCGTTCACAAGAGCACTCACTCACTCACCCACTCACTCCATGGCCTCTCAACCCTGGACTCCGTCAACATGGCGCTCTAAGCCCATCAAGCAGGCTCCCAGTTACCCTGAGCCGGAGAAGCTGACCAAGGTTGTCAAAGAGCTCTCGCGCATGCCGCCGCTGGTTCACCCCAACGAGATCCTGGCTCTCAAGGCTCACCTCAGAGATGTTGCTCATGGCAAGGCCTTTCTCCTACAAGGAGGCGACTGCGCCGAGCTCTTCGACTACTGTGAGCAGGGCGCCATCGAATCCAAGATAAAGCTGCTGCTACAGATGAGCGTGGTTCTCATTTGGGGCACCAACAAGCGTGTTGTTCGTATCGGCCGAATGGCTGGCCAGTATGCTAAGCCTCGATCAAGCCCAACCGAGATGTATCAGGGCCGCGAGATACCGAGCTTTAGAGGCGATATTCTGAATGGCTATCACGTCGATGAAAGAGACATCGATCCCAACCGCCTGACCAAGTAAGCTTGAGCATTCCCAGACGTCAGTGAGACGAATTGGCGCTTCCTGTTGCTAATCCGATTCGTAGAGCCTACCATTACTCTGCGGCCACCCTCAACTACATCCGTGCTTCCATTGCGTCCGGAATCGCAGACCTTCACCGGCCCCTGGACTGGGGCTTGGGTCACGTTCGTGATCCAGTCTTGAAGGAGAAGTACTCGTCCATTGCCAGCAGCATTCAGCAGACCCTCCGTTTCTTGCAAGTCATCAATTCTCGCCCAGATGAGCTGCACACCGTCGAGCTCTTCACCAGTCACGAGGGACTCCTTCTAGAGTACGAAGAACCTTTGACACGACTGCTAGAATCGCCGCCGGCTCGTCCAGCACCCCCCGCCAGCAGCAGAGCACCCTCGCCTCCACTACCTGCGGATGATGACGAGCCCAAGACGCAGCAAGCCTACTATGACACATCTGCGCACTTCATTTGGATCGGAGATAGAACCCGCCAACTCGACCATGCCCATGTTGAATTCTTCCGTGGCATTGCCAACCCCATTGGCGTCAAAGTTGGCCCTACGACACCAACCTCCGATCTCCTAGACCTGTTGCGGACACTCAATCCCGATTGTGAGCCCGGCAAGATCACTCTGATTACTCGTTATGGTGCCAACAAGGTCGGCGAGCTGTTGCCCAAGCACATTCGTGCAGTTGAGGACTCTGAGTACCGCCGATGCGTTGTCTGGCAATGCGACCCCATGCATGGCAACACCCTATCCACGCCTTCCGGTATCAAGACGCGCCGTTTTAACGATATTTACAAAGAACTTCAGGAGTCGCTTCGCATCCACAAGGAGCAGGGCAGCTACCTCGGCGGTGTTCATCTCGAGCTTACCGGCGACGCCGTCACAGAGTGCCTGGGAGGCAGTGAAGGTCTCGAGGAGGACGACTTGTCCACCAACTACACCTCCTTCTGCGATCCTCGACTCAACGAAAAACAAGCTCTTGAGCTTGCATTCCTAGTCGCCGATCACTTTTCACAGGAGCAAAAAAGCGATGCTTAAGCCAGATTGAGAGGGGCCAGAGAATTTAGGCAAGCTGTCGCTTATTAAGAGGTGAAACATCATGTACATCGGTGGGATTTGTCGACATGAAGTACTCGAAAAGTTTTTGGCCCTATATAGGGGATCGACAAGTGGGTTCCGAAGAAATAAAGACACATTTTGATACGGGAATACACTATCTAAAAGAGGGATGATTTATGGGAACAGCGTGCCTACAAAAGGGAATCCTTGCTTCTATGGAAAGAGAATATTTGCCAGCTTCCATACTTTATTCATCAACTGCACTGCTCACAGTCAGAGAGACGCTGCATATGATATGCTGCCAACGTCGCACAAAATGCGTAGATCAAGTAGTCTGACTGCTTGAACGGTAATTCTGTGGCATCACTGGCAAGATAGCTAGAGGTGGTGACATGAGCCAATCACCACACTATTCCGCCCTAAGGATCAACATTCTCAATTTTTGAAACCCAGTTACAAAATATAAATAGTTTGGGCACCTTCAAAGGCGTCACCCTTGTCCAATTTTTGCCAGCCATCAACACTCCCTGCTTCGACACAAACCATGTTCTTATAGCCGTCATTGGGAGCGAAGTCGGACATCCCCTGGGCTTTCTCAATCCAGGGATTCCACACAACAACTTGGTCAAGATTATCTCTGACAATCCGGAAGCAAGGGCGGCCGGTATCAGAAATGACAATGGGGTGTCCAGGACCTTTGGCCGGAGTGTAAACACGGTCCATTTCACCAGAGAATGTCACCGGCGATGAAGATTCGGTCTTGGTCTTGGCTCCATCTACCTTGTCGACGTACTTGGAGTCTTCCAACCCAGCGATTTGGACGGCAGATATATCCTGTAAGGCAGGCACATTAATGTCGGCTAGGCTTCGAAACCTTCAAACACAAGCCAGATTTGTTTGGCAATACGACAGATTTGTTACACACCTTGATGTTGAAATATGTATGTAGCAGCATTTGGCAATCAAAAGGCTCTTCGCCATCATTAGTTATGACAAGCGTCGTAGTCAAGCTCTCCCGGTCTAAGGTAACGCTGTATAGTAAACCAAACTTATAGGGCCAAAGAGCCTTGGTATGTTCGGCAAGAGAATCAGATGAGAGACCAAAGTCAAGCTTTACGCTGGAGCTGGAGCTGGAGCCTTCACTGGTAGATTTCCCCAGAAACTCCCATCGAGCAGTTCTAGCAAGCCCGTGCTGAGGCAGCTTTGAGGTAGCTTCATGGTTGGGGGTTGCAGGCCCGAATAACTAGCCACGAGTCGCGCGTTAGATCTTCTAGGACTCTTGCTTTGCACAGGCTTGATTACGCAAGGCAGAAAGAAAGAAAAAAGCTGGGTCTTGGATAATAGGGGATATACCGGAAACACCAAAGGAATACCTCCGCGAACGCCTTTAGACCCATCTAGCTTCGTATCCTTGCTCAACCACAACTTCTCATTCCCCGCAGCATCCTTCCAGCTGAGGACAGTGGCGCCGAAGAGCAAGACTTCAACAGTCTCTCCCGTGGAAAGAGTAGCCGAGACACGAGAGCTACCATCTGAGATGGTCACCTGCGGCTGGGGAGGTAGACCCGGAGTGGTAGCCAAAGCTGACGGCTTGTTTGGTCTGTCCACCATTGTAAAGTTCGTTTTTCGAAGCGAGGAGCAGCGAGAGTGTTCGAATGAAGGCCCAGATGGTGGACTTATGCAGGCACTTGACTTATTCAAGTTCAACACGGCTGGTCAAGTAGCGAGCCCATAAGCCACAAGAAGCAGTTGACCCAGGAAGAGAGCTGTTGGCCGGCGGGGCACAGAGATATCCGGGATTAGCGGAAGGGCGCGTATCGCCTCTGTTTGTCAAGCTTTAGCAGGATGCCAAGGCGTAGAAAACACAACCGAGGGGTTCTCACGTACACTGTGGATGGGCTGCAAACACAATGCGGAAATAGACGATGATGAAGTGAAGGATCTGGGTGGTCAAATGACACGCTTTAGTTTGCTTGATCCGAGGGAGAAGCTGTCGCAGGAGGGGCGGAGGGGAAAGGCGGCCAGGTGGGGGATGCATGGCGGGGTAGATTGATTGCATGGTCTAGGAGGCGCGAATGGAGACCAAGCGATGTACTTGCCTAGGTAGTCGATGAGAGGGAATTGGCAACATGATTGCCATCGACTTCATTTGCCAGGTCATTCTGTGGTGGTCAATGAAGCATTAAGAAATTTAGCACCCTTTCCCGGAAACCGATTTTATACAGGAAGCCTTCGTTGTTTAATGCTTTGGATAGCATGTATCGGGTATCGCGGTGAAGTTTGCACCATTTGGATGAGGGAATATAGAAAGGCAGCCCAATGAGCAACTAATTATTCTGGCTAGTCTAATTCACTGAAATAGATCCCCTCTTCCATTTTACAAGAAATAAAATTGAAAACTTCTTCGCATTCAATATCCAATCCCCAATGCAAGAAGGTGGGGAGGGTTGGGTTGGGTTGTTGATGCAGTACGGTGATGAACTGGGTCTGCAATATGAAGCATTCCACAGTCGGGTATATAGGCAAAATCAAAAACATTTCTTCCAAGATGCAGTGCGTACTTTTTAAGAAGTTCATCATGGAGCTCATTTCTGAATGGACCAAAAAAAAAAAAAAATCTCAAGAGATATGCAGCTCTGATTCGCTTCTTCTATTAACAGAAATCCAACCTGGCTCCAGCTAAGCCACGACTATCGCTACAACACCGGCGCCGTTTACGACCGGCGCCGTTGTGTTTCTTCGTCGATGTTGGTAAACATGTTGTTATTAATATCAGCGCTAGTTTCACTAGAACTGCCGTTGCGATGCTCCATGTTGTTCTTCTCGCCAGTCTCATTAATGCTGATGAGAAGTTCTCCGTTTTTACCGTAGCGCCGTGGCTCGATTTCGGCTTGGTGTACGACGGTAAAGGCACCCCTCCAACCCTTGACTTTCTGGAAAATAATGTCCATTTCTTCAAGAGATCGGTACGCAGTTTCTGGGAAGAAGAAGTAGACGGAAGGAACCATAATGGCATTGATGATGGCGAAGATGGTGTAAGTGTTGTACTTGATGTTTGTAAAGGAGACAGGGGTGATCATAACAACCTTTAATTTATAAATGTTAGCATATCTTGGCATCGTATTGAAGCAATGATACGTTCTTACCATGAAGTTGAAGATCCAGTTGGAAGAAGTAGACAAGGCGTTGGCTGGGGCACGGGTACGTAGAGGAGTAATTTCGGCCGGGTATAACCAAGTCATGCCGAGCCAGCCAACTGCAAAGAAAGTGTTGAAAACAAAGAGAAACACGATACCTGCAATTTGGCAAGCGTGATTGTTTTCCTGCGAGCCTACACCTGCAAGAATAGCCATGGTGGCGGCCTGACCAGCAGCACCGAACAACATGAGCTTTCGACGACCAATGCGTTCGACGAGAAACACAGCCGGCCACGATGCAATGAAGTACTCGGTGCCGTTTAAAGCAGCGAGGAGACGAGATAAGAATGGACTCATACCAAGACGACGGTAAATAGTAGCGGCATAATACGTAATAAGGTTGATACCTGAAATCTGCTGGAACATCTGATTGACATAGGCGATAGTGGTGCGGTGCAGCGTGCGGTTATTGTCACGAGCGAAGCAATCTGCGAAGCTACCCTTGCTCATCTCTGCAACAGTGTCCTTGATGGCGCGAAATTCGTTCTCGACATATTTGTCGTCGTTATCAACCTCAGCAATAGCGGCAATGACCTCTCGAGCCTCGGCATCGCGACCTTTGAGGATGAGCCACCGAGGAGATTCGGGTAAGCCAAGTACAAATGCCAGAATGAAAATACAGAAGACAATCTGGAAGGCCAGGGGGAAACGCCAAGCGACAGAGCCGGGCGCAAAGGACAAGCCAAGGTCCACCCAGTATGAGATCATGATACCTCCAGTGATGAGTGCACCTTCAATCATGACAAGTTTGCCACGTTTGTGAGCTGAGCAAGTCTCGGATTGCCACATGGGCACAGTGGAAGTGTTTCCACCATTGCCCAACCCAGTGATGATGCGTCCAATGATGAAATGCTCGAGAGTGAAAGCAGAGGCTTGAAGAGCCGCTCCAACAACCATGATGGCGGTACCAAGGAAGATCATACGTCTGCGGCCAAGAGGATTGCCGATGAAGATGGTGATGACTGCACCGATAAAACAGCCCAGGTTGTACGAGGCGACAGCGATTCCTTGGTAAGTTGATCTATTGGACTTTTCGGCGTCTGTCAAGCCATTTTCAGTGTCGTTGATGTCCGGGAACTGTTCAAGGAAGATGGGAAGTGTGAGAATGCCGCCCATAACACCTTGGTCTAAAGATCATGATTAGCACAGTGCTTACAATGTCGCACAAGCGCACAGCTCGGTACGAGTTGCCACGACTAAGACGCACAGGGCGCACAGAAAAGAGAAAAGAGAAAACAGAGCGCCTACCATAACCAAAAAGCAGGAAGTCACATCCTGCTACGGCTCCAATGGCCCAATTAAGGGCCTGGCCGGAGAGGCCAAAGAATTTTTTCACCATGACGGACGAGAGAAGAGAGTGGAAGGCGTTCAATACTAATATTATAAGCCTTGATCTTGTCCGTATTGTTTTCACAGTCTTGGAACCCTGTTGTCGATCCCCTCATTCACTTCACAGCGTAGGAAGCGGCGGATGGGACAACAACGGTTGCGGATGAAAGGAAGGGGTAAACCAAGAAGTAACATGTGTGTGTGTGTGTGTGTGTGATAGAGAGAGAGAGAGAGACATAAGTGCTTTATAAAGTGGCATTGGCCCTCAAGATACCAGCGGGATGTGGGAACGCGGCACGGACTGAACCACAGACGCGAGCATGGTAACGAACGACAAACAAAAATGGCCTTGGCAAGCAGTTACAAGGACCTTGGTCAGGCTTTCCGCAACACATCAGACACTCGACACATAACAACAAGTTGACGAGGACGGGGAGGTTTGGCACTCTGTACTACAACGTTGGTCAAACCGGGGGTTCTCCACATGGCTCCATGACGATGTTCCACCAGCCCATGAGGCCGGCCCTGCTCGCCGTCATCAAATCCATTTGGCCCGCCCTCGTCAGATAAGCCGGTCAACATTGAACAGTCAGAGAACCCGAGAGACATGGACAAGTTCGACCACCGGTGTGCAGCATAAGAAGCGTAAAGGCTAGCTTGGGGGCCCCTATGTTGTGCAACTTCGTCTCATTAAACTGCTTAGGGTCGAGGAAGGTATTGCATATGTATGTTGTAGTACTCCGTGCAAGGCGAATGAGAGGCAGAGGCCAGGGTTGTTATCCGCACACCACCACCATCAACACTTGCTGACCGTTCGCGGAGTGCCTAGTATTTGACTCTACTCTTACTGTGGCAGGTGTCTGCCAAATTCTGTACCCGGGTCAAGCCTTCTTCGAGATCAATTGATGGCTTGCGGTTTCTAGAAGCGCCACTGGTGTGCCTGGCTGCCACTGCTGGAAATTCCGATTCGTTGGACGAGAAGACGGGATGTCGGTGTGGTGGGAAACCTAGGGGGAGAATCATCCCCTTCTCTCGCTCGTTAATTCGTTACGTTCGAATAGTCTTTGCGCCTCCAGGGCTTCCGCAGATGACAAGATGCACAGACGGTGTACTAGAATGCGCCAGTTGAGCGTGTAATTCCGGCCCTTCGAGTTGCATTTGCAACCATATCCGACCCTCTTTTCCTGCCCCAGCGTGGAGCTGCGACGTCATTCCACCGCAAGCCGTGGATACTGAAGACATCCAAATGGACAGGGCAGCCATGACACTGGTGCCAAATCCACTGTATGGCAAGCCATGTTGCTCTTTGCGCAGCGCCATACGGCCAACTTTAAAATCTGTTTCGTCAGAAAAGCATGTAGAACAAAAATAGAGGATACCGGATGTATCGTGTGTGGAGTTGATTGATGGAGAGGGAAAAGAAGCAAAAAAGGAGACATAATAACTACTAGGTACTTAAGTACTTACCTAGTAGGTACCTGCCTACTTAAGTACCCTAGGTACATACCTAAGCCGTTTGCCTGCTAATAACCTTGGAAAGTATACCAGTCGACTACAGTCCATTTAAGTACTTAGTATATAGCATTGTTGATGGCTGGGCTCATGGGTCGCGAGTCAATACTGATTCCGGCGTACCTCTTACTGTATCCCTACCGGCACTGCTCAAGTGGTACTCTGTCTATTTTCCGCCCTCTGGCTCAAAAAACTATCCACGAGTATAAAAGTCTTCTTTTCTTGAAATAACTTGCGGGTTTGGACGCTTTTCTGCGCGGCACACGTGACGATTTGCCTTCATTCTCTTCATTGCTGCACCGGATTTTCTCTCGCTATACTTACTCTCTCTCTCTCTCTCTGTGCAGATTGCTACGGCCAGTAGCCGAACAGTGCCATCAGAAGCACAGGAAGATCCAGGCCGGATGTTCCTTCATTCTCGTCCCTATGTCTCACAAGTGCATGTACGTTGCCCCGCCTTTCACTGATCGCGTTTTATCGTGCACATGTGGCTTTTCAGCGCAGCTGTCTGGATCCGTAGCCGAGAGCTATGGGATTTTAGGCATTGCCGTGCTGGCAACGTCGTCGGTATAGGCACTGTGATTCAACACGTACAAACTACGGAGTGCATCATGCTCGGTTTTGTACGGCCAACAGTCGTTTAAGCAAGTACTTAACACCCTTCTTTGGAATCGACAACAGCCACCCATATGTTCGGCTTGGCAGGTAGTATCAGAACGGATGGTGCTTTTGAACTTTTAATTTCATTGGGTGCTTCATGCACCAGACAAAGATTTTTTGTGGAAACGGACCACGACATTTTGCATTGAGAGCACAGTGGGATACATGTAGACAAAACTTGACGTCATTTTCACTTCGCGGACCGACTCTCTGGAATTGTGCTCCTTTGGCCTTCAGTTAACTTGTTCATCCAGGCGACGCCGAGGAAGATGGAATGGATGGATGGGACGGGGCGATGAATCAGCATCACATCTACCCAGACATCGCCTTTCTCGCAATGGGGATGAAGAGAACGCTGCTATGATGTGGAACAACCTTTGTTGGCCTTTACTGAAAGTACATGGGCAGTTGCCTGAAGAGAACCAGTGTGTAATGTTCACTGCTTCATCCTAGTGAAGCATCTCCCCAAACCCTGCAACAATAAACTCAAATTAACAGCGGAGTGCTTTGTATTCCGCAACCCCCAAAGGAAGATGTTAGTGTCGAGACACCTCTATCGCTTTTCTCTTGGTGTGATTCTTGGCATATCAGAGAGGCAACAAATGCACATTCCTTTCAACTCGGCACAGAACAAGACTATTCCAACGATATTTTTGTGTAGAAATAAGCTACATCAGCTGCCCTTGAGGTCCACTCATTATCAACACTGAAACGGTCTCAGCTGCAACGTGTTTTAGCGCAAATTTAAGATTGCATCATACCTGTCAAGTTCGGGGGTCGTTGCCGATCCTTCATTTTTCTTACTGTACAGCTCTACGGAGTATTCATTGTTGCACTGTCCCAAGTTCCACTGTTTCGCATCCATTCCGCTGTGGCTACAAACCGTCCCGGGCGCCATGCTTCATCCTTCCGGCGGCTCTCGGCCGTCGCTTTACCGACATCATTTGACTGCCTGCGGCGGGAGGAGACTCACTAACTTGATTAATCTCTGGTTTGTCCATGGTGTGCAGGAGCCAAAAAAACAACCACCACCACACTTTACCGCAAATGGCTGCAAAGTGCGATGACCCACTTTCGGGATACCGAAGTTGGCAATCCCGTATTCGAGGTGCTTAACGAGAAGTGAAGAGCGGTTGCTGGGACTAGGCTAGTAGTATCTGGAATAATTCTCAGATCATCGAGATGGCGAGTTCCAAATGTCAATGTTGGATCGGGGGCGGCGGGGTTCATGGGGTTTTCCATTTTGCATGCAATCTCGCGCCTCAGACCGAGCGACGTTCAGTCCTCAACCCATCGACTTAGCAACTACATACATACATTCTAAAAGCAACTAGGACTAGAGGTCCAATCCTTTCATCCCAAGTTCAAGCTCCAGTCTGAGGCACGCCAGTGAACCCCAGGTAAATCTGGCGGAATGGGGTGGTTCTCATTGTCGTAATCACTATTGCTGTACTCCTTGGTAGCTTTAAATTGTGCACTGGCATATCCCGCGCACCGTGTTGTATTTATAATATTATGTTCTCCGTGATTCATGAGACATTGCCCAATACAAAAAAATGTCCTTTCCAACACCGAGCTACATATATAAGGCATGTACCAGCTTTGTACAGCGATAAAAAGTCTCATACAACGCCACCGATGCCGCAATGCACGCCGGAAAAGCTACTCCCTGTAAACACTATACTCCTTTCATGGTTTTGGTTTCACTGGCCTCTTGATTTTCTCTTCCTGGTTCGTCCTCTTCCTCTCCTCTCCGCTTCAAACAACTCACGCTTCATATCCATCAAAATATCCTCAACTTCATACACCTTCTCTCTACTGAGAGATGCACTGCGTAGTTTATCGAGCCCACTCCGCAGAGTTTCCATAATTGTTAGGGGACTTTCTCCTCCAACTGGTGGTCCTGCACTTGATTTTGTGCCAACAAAAGTTTCCATGGTTTCACCAACCGCCGGTTCTACTTCGAGCTCCATCTCATCCTCATTGGCTCCTCCTGCAATTTCGTCCTTGTTCGCACCTTGGTCATCTCCCTCTAGGTGGTTCTGCTGTGACGCCTCATTAGATTCCTTTACCAATTGAGATTGTACTTCCTCGTCAGTATCACCACCATCCATATTCCCACATGGACTCTTGGCTCGATGCTTAGCATCTCTCCGAGCCTGTCTTGACTCACGAAGAAGCGCCTGTTGTTGCCTCTGTCGAAGGCCACGTCTAGTCTCTATACCCTCAATAGGGTCGTTCTTGTCGTCGCAAGTCTGCGGTACAGACGGTTCGGATTCGCTTTGTTCTCTGTCCGATAATTCTTGAATTTCATCAGTAGCAGATCGTCGCCTTTTGTTGCCCTTGTCGGATTGCTTTCCGGCCCTCTTTCTTTTCCTCCGAGATCTGCTTGTTTCTGTCTTCTCCGAAGGCTCGGCAGTAGATGGTATCACGGGGGCTGGCGTTTCAACTGTTGCATTTTCCGGTTTTTCGGGTGATGGACAAGTAGAGTCTGTGTGTACCAAAATACACCCGCGAGACCCAAGTGGGGTCTTTGAACCTCCTTCTATGCGGCCACAAAGTTGTGAGCCATCTATTGGCCTCGTGGCATCTTTGCCATGCTGCGCCGCGTCCTGTAGATCCGAGGGTGCACCAGACTTTGTGCCATCTACCTTTTGTTCTGTCGTCTTGTTTTCCGCCTCCACACACCGTGAAGAACAGCGACGGGATAGTGACTTGGATCCCTTCGCCGAGTCATTCTCGAGCTTCGGCGTGACTTGAGCTGTTCTTGCTCGTGTAATTCTACCTTCTCCGGGTGTGGCGGGTGCTGTCAAGGAACGCTGGGATGGTTGATCTTTGGCTTTAAGACTCAACACACCCTCATCTTCGCGCTTGTTAGAGACTGCATGGTCGTTAGACTGGCAAGCTTCGGCTTCCATACGTCTTTTTCTTTTCGAGTAGCGACGCAATTTCTTTGGTGATTCAATGTCTGCAGGGCCAGTAGGTTGCAGCTCTGGTTCTTCTCTTTGCTGAATATCAAGGGGGGACCCCGGTGGCGAGGAAAACTCCCAGCTTTCCATGACACTTCCTGCCCTCGATCGAGATTGGATCTCAGATAGAAAGGGGTACGGGCGGGGTGCAGGCGGCGAAGACGGGGGGTCATTGAAGTCATCCATTTGTAACACCTGGCCGCGCCTGGGGGTTGGTGTCAAGCTAATCAGGTCTTCGAAGGATTTACTATGTTTAGGGGTGCTCTCCTGTGCCACTTGCGGACTCTGAGGTGCATTCCTTTGTGTGCTTGGCCCGGGCAACTTGTGGGCGGATGGTGGAGAGAGGCTGGATTGGACGTCTGTGTATAAGACTGCATTTTGACGCTGCCTTTCGCGGACTTCCTTCTGGCGTTCTGTCAGATGCTGAGATTCATTATGCAAGGGTGAGGACGACACAATTGGCTCGAATTGTATTTGAGAGTTATCATGTCGGCGGCGCGGTGTGCTCATTCGTTTTGTTGACTTTGCGTGATGGAACTCTGGTGTCGATTCTAGGCGTCGTCTCCTGGTCATTGGCCTTCTAGATGCAGACAATCTCGAGGCTGACGCTGCAATGTTGGGATCAGAATGCGATCTTGTTGGGGATAGAGCATCCGAGCTGGGGTCGGCTGATGGGCCTCCCTTTGCAGTCAGTATTCCGATGCCAGTACTTCTGCTGGCACCTGGAACAACAATATCAACCTTAGATCGCACAGAAGAAATGATCGCCATGAGGCTGTCTGAACATTGGATATCTTCATCATCCTTCATGATTGCATTCCACATCACGCATGTTCTATTCACGATAGTCGCATGTGTACTTTTGAAGGCAGCCGTTAGGACTGGCTCAATAACGTCCAAACTTCTTCTGTTCGGCCGTTCCTGAGCAGCGAGATTCGAGCAAACATGGTCCCAGATAGTAGCAACCTTTGAAAGAGAAGGTCAGTGAAAAATGGATAATCTGGGGGACTATTTTCAGGAATCAAACTCACACACGTGAACAAAGAAGACTCATGCTTCTCTTGAATATGAGTCTTTTCGTTCTGAAGCCATACGCCGAGTCCAGTTTGCAGTTTGCTTAACACCTCTATTCCGAAGAGGGGCCAGTTTTTTACCAAGAATGTATCCACGGCCTCGAGCAATGGCACAGCACGCACATTCCAATCTGTGTCCAATTGCTGGTCATACAAAGTTGCCAAAAAGTGATTTCCAAGTTTGTATAGATGATCGAGTGGGTCGAATAACGTCATTTTGGGCAGAGTTGGAGGCGCTCCCCAGAGCCTTGACCGAGCAGATTCCACGGCTTGTTTGTCTCGAGGCAGTTTCGCATGATTGAAGAGAGAGGTGACAGCTTGGATGATCAAAGGAGATAGACCTTCAGTTGCCGCACCCGGCATGTCTAATATAGCTTTGGCTAAAGGTTCGATGACGACTAGAGAACAGCCAGCATCGCCAAAATTACTTGAGACTTGTGTAGCAACGGTTTCAAAGAAGGGAGTCCACTGTCGAGGAGGCAAATTTGGGTGAGAGCTGAGACCACGTTCTATTAGAGACACAATTTCTCGGAACTCCGGGCCGTTCATTTTATCTGGAACTGGGACACACCCAGCGGTAAGAACTGAGCGCTTGTCAAGGCACGCTTTAGCACAATCTGCAGCCAGCAACCACGGCCCATATGGCGACAAAGAGTTGCGAGGTAACAGCTGCAGCAGCTCTTTTGCCAAGTCGAAACGTCCTTTGACACTTCTGCCTTTCAAAAACGGTTCAAAAATTGACTGGAAAAACCTAGCCAAGGCATCGTCATCGCTGCCGCCAACAGGGACAGCAGCAAGCATGACGAACAAGTGATGCAGAGGCATACGTACAACCCCTCTAGGCTTATCCGATCGGTCTAATCGCTGTGATGGCGTAGCAACTGGCTCAAATGTGTTCAGAACAGTCATAGAGAGTCTTTTCTCAGTGAATGGGAGAAGTCCTAGTCCATCGATGAGAATTTGTACAAAATTAGAGACCCCAGAGAGAAATTTTGAGTTCGACGAAGTAGATTCGGGCTCAGCATCCTCCGCCGTAAAGACTGTAGAAAGTAAACCGAACGTACAGCCAACAAATTTGGCCGTATCCTCGGAAACCTTGATATCTTTTGCAGAGGCAGCTGCAACAGACCCCACAAGTGCCTGCCACAATCGGTAGATCAAGCTGTCTTTATTCGCAAGATCAATGAATTTCTTTTGAATGACAGGTCCCACCAATTGCAACACCTTGTCACAATTCCTTCTAACCCACTTCGAATCAATGGCAGGGAGTTCGTCCGGTTTGACTGGTGGCAGATCAACGATGCGGTCTTGCCTCCATATTCGTGGTGTGACAACATCCAGAAGACCAACAAGTAATCTAGCTGCTTGCATAATGCCATCTCCAGGGACGTCAGGCATACCATCCAGGCTGATGAGTTGGCTTATGATAGGTTGCACGGCAACATCCCACAAGACATCCGTATCGTATTTGTCACTACCGGGAGTAAAGGCGTAGTAGTATAGGTTGCATATACCACCAATTACCACCCTGCGCAGTTTCAAGGCCTCTTCTTGCTGTTTCGCGCTCGATTTTCTGCGAAGTTGGCTGAGAAGAGGCTGACATAACGTCGCAATGCACTTGGGGCTGACTCTGTTGTCCGAAAGCGAGAGATAGAGGTATCTGTTCCAAGCAAAGTTGGCTTCTTGTTTAGTGGAGTTGTCCGTCATGTTGAAGGCAGACTGCACCAGGGTCAACCAAGGTCCATAGTGCTGCCATCTATCTAGGGGACAACGAAGAAATAGGATGACAACGCTCCATATTTGGGGGACGAAGTGGCAACAATGTTTTTCCTTGACCATCGCCTGCAGCCTCTTGATATAGAAGTCGATGTATGTTTCGGTGTCGTTGGCTGCTTGAAATAGTTCGCTCGCTTTTCGAAGTAATTGTTTTTCGGACCGCAACGCAAAACCCGCCTCCGACCCCAAGCTAATGGCTTGTGAGCGAATGTCTTTGACAGAACTGAGCATGTCGGTGAACATATCCTTGAGCCAATCAAGGTGGGCAGCCATGTGGTTTCTGGACTGTTTGATGAGTCGCTTGTATATGTGTAGGCGGCTCATTATGATGCTTTTCCCCTTCAAGTGGTGTTCAATCTTGTGCAAAGCTGCTATAAGACGGCCAACTCTCTCTGAGGTCATGACCTTGGCAGAAAAGTTCTGAAATGCCATCACTTGCATAAGATGTCGTATCACATCCTTGGGCATCGCCTCATCTTCAAACGAGCGGATGGACTGCTCGACGACGAAAACGCTGAAATCAGAGGTCAGGGTAGACGCAATGGCCGGGAAGTGAAGAAAGGTGGCAAGTAGTGTGAGAGAATGATTGATCAGAGACGTGTCTAGGTTTCCATGGTCCGACTTTGCCGTCATATCGCGCTGAACAAATTGCATAAATAGGCTCATCTTGTTTTGCAAGGCGACTCGATCCGGAAGGTTGTTGGAGGCCTTGAGGGCTCTGGAAAGCATCATATATGCATCCAGCTTGGAGTCCCGGTCTGCTCCAGCCAGCTGCTTGATAGTCGAGTCCAGCATTTCAATTATATTAAGCGGAGAGGGACCATCGAGCTCGTTCGTAAAGCATGAAGCTAAAGGATTCGGGGACGAGGAAGGCTTAAGGATGCTCTTGACGGGTTTAAAGCGTGTTGCTGACGACGGAGCTGAAAATGGCGAAGATTTGACGGCCTTGAGACCTTCGGGATATTGGGGAGCCTCCCGATAGTCTGTGTGAGAGGACCACTCCACCTTCTTCCGAGCACGACTGGAGCTGGGGTTGGATCCTGTAGCAACAGGTGAGGTGAAGGAGTGGGCATTCGGAGGGGTATGAAGACTCAATATTGGGTCAAAGGCCGAGGCTCGCCCCAGAACGATGGATTTGAGAGAGACGTCGATTTCGTGGCTAGCTTCACGAGGAGGAGTTGGCGGCCGAGCTGGCAGTGCGATGAGAATATTTGAGGAAGAGGCCGAGGCTACTGAAGATGCCATGGCTGCTGCCAGGCAGCACCGGCGATCTAGAGCGCAGAGAGTTGGCCAGCGAGCTCTCACAATGCCATGCAAGAGGGACTGTAAGAAGGTGGTGGAGGTTGCGTAGCCAATGTACTGGCCAAAGAATTGACGCCGCCGTATCAACGACGACTAAGCAGTTTTGCAGCAAGTCAGGGTTTCACTGCACGTCGAAGCACTTTTCTCAAGTAGCCAAACTGGACGCGAGATGCGAGGCGTGGAATCGGGGCTTGGAATAGGGTTGAGATGAAATGTTGAAGGACGACATATGTCGAAGTCATGGCCAAATTGAGATGGGCAGAAACGAAATCAATTAATGAATTGCACCTGCCCCATGTCCCCACGTCCCTAGCTGCTGGACTTGGAGGCTGGCTGGCCAGCTTGCCTTTTCAATAAACGCGACCACGCTTCACGAAAACGCGTGCAAGAAGCTGCCAGTGCGCGTGGGTAACACGGCACCGCGGATAATGACTAAGCGACAGTGCTCCACCCAACCTCCCTGGCCTGTATGGAGATCGCCGTGCACCAAGCATCGTGGGTAGCACCTGCTCACATCCGCTGAAACCTTTAATCTCCGTGTATACAGACTTCTAAGTTTTTCAAACTTCTGTTACGACTTCTTCTTCTTTATCATACCTGGCACCCCCGCCCGCATTCTAAAGCTGGTACGAACATAACTACCAGTTCCATTATCACCCTCCAGACTTTGCAACAGGTTGATCCTCGCCAGCGCTGGGTTGAGTTCTTACTTTTTTATCCAAGCACACCGAAAGAACGTCTAGACCAGTTGGCCTGCCTGCCTGACTTCTGCTCAACTGCCACCCAGTGCCCCGTTCAAGGTGGAGGCGTCGGCTTATCTTCGCTGCTGAGCAAAGACCCTCCGTCGTCGTCCTAACCCGTCTCCCCACCCACCTGCCACAGCTCTCTCAAGGTCAGCTTGTACGACATGTCCCAAGCTTCATGATCTACCTAGTACAACGAACTCAGAGCTGTGTGCTGGTACTTGTACGGAAACGTAATAAAGTACACAGTCCATACGGGTACTGCGGTGATAAAATCTCTCTATCAGGTGCTTTGTCCAGGGCTGAGAACTTGGAACCCTAGAGCCACAACGCCGTGCTGAATTCGGTGCACTTCGGCCCTTCGGTCCGCTGGGCAGCATATGCCAACGCTACTTGTTGTCGTTTCGTTGTCTGAATTCTGTCAATTGAAGCCTGTTTTGAGTTCAAAATGGCTACGATTGCAAAGGGAGCTGCCACTGGACCGGGTGAGTCACCCTGGGTTCTGTCATCTAGTCGCACCAACAGCGCAGTTCAAGCTAATAGATATGTGACCTTAGCAAAGCTTCAAGCCGTGGTAGATCTGGTCAATAAGCTCAGCGATGATCTCGAAAACATCTCACTGTTACCTAAAGGTACTCTCCAGCCCTGCAGGCGACATTGGTGGTCTCGAAGTCTAACATTTTTGCCAAAGACCGCAATGATGCCTTAGAAGAGCTTAAAATATACGGGAGGGACCCCAAGTACGCAGATCCTATCTTCACCAAAGATGTTTGTAGTCTTCTTCGCAGCACCTATTGCTATAACCGCTGACTCTAACACTTCCCAAGGGATTTACCATGCTTTTAAGGTATTCATTTCAGAACCCGCCAGATGACACCTCACGGGCCGCCCTGCGAGTAGTAGCCAATGCGATGCTTTTGAAACCCGAGACACGTCAGATGTTTGTAGATCAAGGGTATCCTGCTCAGGCTTGTGATCGGCTCAGGGCGGGAAATTGGGATGACGAGTTCCTTCTTTCGCGGGTACTGTTTCTTTCAACCTACGGCACCAATATCGATCTGCCAGAATTGATCGATAGCCACGAACTAGCGCAGCACCTCATCAACAATTTAAGACGCCATGTAAAGATCCTTTCAGATAAGCAGAAGGAAAAGCTGGACCCAATGGAGGATATGGCACTTGGAGAGACGTTGAAACTGATGTTCAATGTGACACACTTTTCAAAGACACATGTGTCTTCGTTTGCTCCGGCGGTGTCACTAATCGTGGCACTAATTTTAAAACATGAAATACCCGAACCCAAGCCCTTGGATCCCCCCTTTGGTCCTCTTATTAACTCGCTTCTCAACCTCGATCTTCGCATTGAGCTGAGCCGATTGGCTCTGTACCCCGAGAATGAGCCGCACAAGTTAACATCAAGGCTTGTGGACTTGCTCGATCAGGGCATAAGAGCGTACAGTGGCAATGACCTCGAAACTGTTGTCACACCGGTGGTCAGCCTACTTGCTAGGTTGTACGAAAACGCTCCACAGCCAGTCCAGCAAAAGCTGCGCGAGTGTCTTCTACCAACCGCAGAGGATCGGCAAGGCGTGCTGGGCCGCTCCGACTCTCTCCCATCACACTTGCTGAAGAATTCAACAAATCCCACAGCTCCGGCCTTGCGAGACGCTATTTCTCATCTTCTATTCGATATTTCAGACAAGGACGCGTCGAAATTTGTAGAAAACGTGGGTTATGGCTTTGCATCTGGCTTCCTGTTTCAGAACAACGTGCCCGTACCTGCATCATCTGCCGCCACCTTCAGGAAAGGCGACGGTTTCGGGGCCCAAAAACTCGTCAACCCTATTACCGGGCAGTTTCTGGACAGGGAGAAGATTGCCGATGCGCCAGAGATGACAGATGAGGAAAAGGAGCGTGAGGCAGAGCGCCTATTTGTTTTGTTTGAACGGTCAGTGCTTCATTTTGCGTTTGATTTGTGTCAAAATAGCTTAAGGCTGACGTGATTCCAGGCTGAAAAAGACTGGCGTCGTCAATATTCAAAACCCTGTCGAGAAGGCCGTTCAGGAGGGTAGATTTGAAGAGTTATCTGATGATTGTGTCGAGGAATTGGATTGAGTGACTAACCAAGTAGCGTCTCGAAATAAGCGTATCTTTGCAAAGCATATATAGCGGTAGAGCTGTCACCTAGGCCGAGGCAGGAGGAGAAAGGCGTACGGTTTGAAAGCATTTCCAGACATTTTGTATAGCAAGGCTCTGATACAGGCTGGCTGACTTGTTCACGGGTGAGTAAATAATATCGTCGTCGTACCTCATCAGCATTTATCTTGCTCGAAAACTTTGAAGGAACCTCATTACATACAGCACAGCGATCCGCATCATAAAGTAATAGCCAGTTGTCACGCGAGTGTTATTCTTATACATGTGTGTGAATTTACTAGAGTATAGTCCTTTCCGGGTTACTAGTGCGGCGACGAAACAGCTCATGTTTTCTGCCCTCTTATTTTCCGCTTGGTTTCCCAGCAAGTTGTATCAGTTGTCGGAAACAACTAGGCGTTATTGTTAACAAAAGAAATAGCACCGATCACGGCACTAGCAAGAGGAAATAAACTTCGAGCAAAATTCATCCACGCCCAATCGTCCAGCAGGCTGTTGACCTGGGGATCACTGCCTGGAGTCCCATCTTTGGCTGCCTTTTGCAACGAAGCATTAGTCCTCGTCATGACAGCCAGAGTGAACGGCACGATAGCCAACATGCTGCCAGCTGCAGCTGCAAACCCAACCCATTTTCCGCCGTGGCTCTGGACATCATAGGCGGCGTATCCATATGCGAGAGCAACTCCAACGGCAACTTTAGGCATGAGGGCTGCTCCACGTTTGTACACGTCTGCCCATGCCGGGGCGGTAGACTCGGGTGATACTTTGAGTACAGGTATGACAATGAGCGAGAGTGATGCGATAGCGCCTGGTAGGTGCAGCAAACTTATCAGTTAATGTGCTTGACGATGTGCCAGTATGGCTTGTTCACGAACCAGCTGCCCATGCAGAACCGACGATGCCAGTTGCGACCGCAACCAGTGGTGGACCTGAGATTTGCATTTTCTGGGGAAATTTCTATATAGGCGAAGTGATAGGTGGTGCTCGATAGATGGTCTTGTTGAAGGAGCACAGGCGACGATGCTTATATGCTGTTCTTATTAGGGCCACCATGACTGTGATGAATACTCGGGAACCTCGGACAAGACGCCGCATCATCCCCTACGTAATAACTAGTACCTTGGGTAAGTATCTACCTAGGTAGGTAACTCATTGGCACGACAAGGTTTCAGCCCATTTTTTGTGGAGCTCAATGCAGAATCCTAATCCTTGGTTGAATGTTGATACTGTCTGGTGTGTATACACAATACTAGTAGTAATAACATGACGACTTCTGAATACGACCGCCCAACAGATTTGATATACTAGTAAAGATGCGGGAATTTCAGGGCACTATTATTCTGCGTGGAGTGATTATTCCCATCATCAGATGATAGAATTCAACTGTGTTCTACTACGTATATAGTCCAATGAAATGTGCAGCCCAACATAGACTTTCTCGTTGCCGCTTTGGCCAAATCCCAGTTACGACATCGGCCGTTTAGCCACATAGCCGTACAGAGTCTCAGTCAGTGACTGATCCTGCTTATCAACCTCATCCCAAGCCTTGACAAAACACATATTGGCCTTGGCGAGAACCCTCTGGCTTGGCGTATTTTTGTCAAGCGTCACAGCAACAATGCATTCCCTCACTTTACCATCGTCTCCCTCCACCGCTGTGCTCTTCTCTACCCTTACGTCGACATCAGCGCGTGGAAGCGCCCACCAGGCTTTCAAAAACGCATGCACTAGTTCCGTAGCATACCCTTTGCCCCAAAACTCCTTACGAAGCATGTACCCGATCACAGGCCATCCCAGCTCTCCCACCAGCATATGGCTACCTGCGGTCCCTATCATCTCTCCTGTGTCAGCCAAGCAAACGATGTATTCGTACTTGGCATCGCCTTCTGGTGACAGCCTCTGCTTCAACTTCTCCCTAGACCAGTCGATATCCGGATCTGGTTTTCCCTGCCCAGTCCACTTCATAACCTCGGGTTGGAGGCGCAGAGCATGCCATTCCTCCAAATCGCTTTCCAACGTCGAGCGTAGAACCAGTCGCTCAGTCCG